GCTCCATTTGTAAAAGTTTTCACACAACCAATTAGATCCAATTAGAAATGTTTGAATCCCGGGTGAAAGCTGCATGAGTGGTGTGAAAACATTGACAAATAGTCCCTATAGGGTCCGGTCGGGTGTATTTGGATTGCTAAAGTGGAACTGCAGCCAAAAAATGTTTTCATAATATTTATTGCAAACTGAAGACAGATGTTGATTGGTTGTCATGGGTAACTGCTCCACATTCTGTCTGCTCCAGTTTTGAACAATTCCTCCCCAATGTATCATAAAAATAACCTTTTGCTTTAATAACATATTAGACTTTATTTCTTTGACCTCCTGCAGCCACTTCCTGTCTACATGCACTCCAGCAGATGGCTGGATGGCATTTCTCAGGGCCGGTTTCCTGATGTGGACCATGCCTGCACGTGTGCTGAAATGGCTACTTGTAGGCTCCTTCAGAAGCCAATTTGACAGGGTGACACAGGGTAACACAGGAGAATAACTGTCAGACAGGGACAGAACATTGTCACCCTCCTTCTGAAGCTATTTGGGAGACGGGGACAGAGCGTTGTCACCCTCCTTCTGAAGCTATTTGGGAGACGGGGACAGAGCGTTGTCACCCTCCTTCTGAAGCTATTTGGGAGACGGGGACAGAGCGTTGTCACCCTCCTTCTGAAGCTATTTGGGAGACGGGGACAGAGCATTGTCACCCTCCTTCAGAAGCCCACTTGACAGGGTGACAACACAGGAGAATAATTGGGAGACCGGGACAGAGCGTTTTCACCATCCTTCAGGGGCCCTGATTGACAGGGTGACAACACGGGAGAATATTTGGGAGACGGACAGTACGTTGTCACCCGGTCACTTTAAGCAAAACTCAAGGAAAAGTTTAAAAAAAAAAAATCTGCTGGGCAACAAAGAGTTAACTGCATTGAGGTGTGTGCTGCCTTGTGGATCTTCTGGTTCCTCAGCTGTCATTTCCCAGCTAGAGAAGCTGGGGAAGAAGCTATTTAAGCGCAGTCTGCCCATGAATAGCTTCTTTGCAGTGTAAAGGTGACACTAGGGGTCTAATAGACCCTTGGTGTCACCTTAAAGAAGACCTATCACATATGGGGCTTGTGAGCCCCCCTGTGTGATAGCAATGAAGTAAAATAAATGTAAAAATGCAAGCAAGAAATTCAAAGTGTCCTGTGAACACGCGAATAGTCGTGTAAACATGCGGCGGGTGCGCCTACATATGAAAACGTTGATTGCGCTACACATGTTGGGTATCCCCACGTACACCAGAGTGGGAGCAATCATTCTCGGGCCAACTGATGACCTGTACGGGCGTTTAAAGTGTCAGCTATGCACAGTTTGGGGTTCCGTATTCTGTCACCATTTCCCCGGCGCACACAATTTCTAAGCTTGCCATGTTTGGTGTCTATTTACTTAACGTAACCTCATCTCTTATATTGTACCAAAAATTGAGTATTATATTGTGTTTGTGTGCACTAAAATGAACTCAAGTGTAACTCTAGCTTGATAATGTCATGCGTCATAAAAATTTACAACTTCCGCCATTTTTAGTCTACGGGGTCTGTGCTTTCAGGAACCCTCGGGGGTTTTATGTAATTTTCAGGCCTAAAATGTGTAAAATATCATGTGTGCAAGAAAACGCAAACACTGCCTTTGCAGTGAAGGGGTTAAGTCTGCCCCGCTCTGATCAGAATTCTACGTCCATGAAAGTTCTAAGTGGCCCCTGTGTAAACCAGCTTGTATGTTCCGTGGCCCCTTTTGAGTTGCAAAGGAATGTTGAGCACTATACACAGCAATTGAGCAATCGGTGAAGATTTTGGAATACTGCGCCTCCCTTCTATCATTTCCTAATGAGGGAGGATTGCTGGATAGAAGCCGCGGAACTCTAACATTAGCTCGGTACTTTGTTAGATGATTCTTAAAACTTTACAAACCTGATTTTTAAAAAAATAGCTTTTCATTGAAATCAGTCAATGAAAGCGGTCAGTGTATATAAGGGGAGAGGGGAGAGAGAGAGCGTACGCCATTGCATTGGTATATAAGAGGAGATAGAGAGAGGGGAGAGGGAGCGTGCACCATTGCATGGGTATTGGTATAGAGGGGGAGAGAGAGAGGGAGGGGGGGGGAAAGAGAGCGTGCGCCATTGCATGGGTATTGGTATAGAGGGGGAGAGAGAGAGGGAGGGGGGGGGAAAGAGAGCGTGCGCCATTGCATGGGTATTGGTATAGAGGGGGAGAGAGAGAGGGAGGGGGGGGGAAAGAGAGCGTGCGCCATTGCATGGGTATTGGTATAGAGGGGGAGAGAGAGAGGGAGGGGGGGGGAAAGAGAGCGTGCGCCATTGCATGGGTATTGGTATAGAGGGGGAGAGAGAGAGGGAGGGGGGGGGAAAGAGAGCGTGCGCCATTGCATGGGTATTGGTATAGAGGGGGAGAGAGAGAGGGAGGGGGGGGGAAAGAGAGCGTGCGCCATTGCATGGGTATTGGTATAGAGGGGGAGAGAGAGAGGGAGGGGGGGGGAAAGAGAGCGTGCGCCATTGCATGGGTATTGGTATAGAGGGGGAGAGAGAGAGGGAGGGGGGGGGAAAGAGAGCGTGCGCCATTGCATGGGTATTGGTATAGAGGGGGAGAGAGAGAGGGAGGGGGGGGGAAAGAGAGCGTGCGCCATTGCATGGGTATTGGTATAGAGGGGGAGAGAGAGAGGGAGGGGGGGGGAAAGAGAGCGTGCGCCATTGCATGGGTATTGGTATAGAGGGGGAGAGAGAGAGGGAGGGGGGGGGAAAGAGAGCGTGCGCCATTGCATGGGTATTGGTATAGAGGGGGAGAGAGAGAGGGAGGGGGGGGGAAAGAGAGCGTGCGCCATTGCATGGGTATTGGTATAGAGGGGGAGAGAGAGAGGGAGGGGGGGGGAAAGAGAGCGTGCGCCATTGCATTGGTATATGGAGGGAGAGAGAAGGGGGGAGATAGAGAGGGGGGAGAGAGAGCGTGTACCATTGCATTGGTATATGGAGGGAGAGAGAAGGGGGGAGATAGAGAGGGGGGAGAGAGAGCGTGCACCATTGCATTGGTAATCAGTTTTTATCAGGTTTCCCCCCAAATAAACTTCATCCCCCATCTGTAATTTAAAAGAGAACTACGGGGTAACCTCTCCCATAGTTCTCTTCAGGGTCCCAGGAGGAGATATACTAACTAACCTCCTCCCGTGACCCAAAGCTCAGTATATAGCGGGTTACTGCTCACTATATACTGGGACGGATCCCGAGAATGCTGTCGATATCCACGCTGTTGGCTGATTGACAGCGGGCTCTGCCTATCTAGAGGCAGAGCCAGCTGTGCCCGCCCCTATACCGTCTGTTCCTCCAATCAGCGCTGGAGGATCGGAGAGAGGAGGCGTGTGATCCCTGCGGGGAGCGGTGACTGACAATCACCGCTCTCTGCCGGGAGATGATCGGGAAGTCAGGGATCGGCGGTATGTGTTCCCGATCACTAGAGCTGACCTGTGACAGTTTCATTGTCACAGGTCGGCTTGAATTACGGGGATGAGTGTTTTTCACTCGCCTCATAGTTCTCCTTTAACTCGCAGTCCTTGAAGTCTCCACTGAGCATGAATTGAACAAACAGAGGGGTTCCGGGGTTGCAGGTATCATGACACGGTATTGATGACACAATACTGCAAATACAGCCCCCTCACTGCCATCAGGCACTGATGTCAAATTATAATAGGTGTATTGGTAGGGCGCTGGGCTTGAGGTGGGGAAAACAAGGGGCCTGTATTCAAAATTGTATTGGCAGCTCTCTGTCACCTGCAGTAGCATTGGAGGTTCCTTGTAGTAGTCTGATTAAAGCAGAACTCTGGCACAAATCTTATTAACCCTTGCAGTAGGGCTGCACACGCTATCTAGGGTTAACTGCTCATTATTGTCTAGGTGCTAAAAAAAAATGTTGTATTCCCCTGATCCTCGGAGCTGGCTGGCTCTTAGACTGATCATTGTGGTTTTGAAGATGGTTGCTAGTCCCTGTAAAGGTCCACGGTGGTGAAGGGTTAATTGTCTCGTGATTGGTCAGTACATTTCCTGTGTTATTGACTCTTGTATCTCGGCAGGAAGTGAAGACCGGAGGATCTCCCTGTTCTCAGCCTGCAGGTTGTGTCCTGCGCCTATCAGTCCCAGGATGTCCGCTGTCACCGAGAACAGCTCAACGGCTTTCAAGGTGACCTCTGCCGCTCCCACTGTCCCCTACAGCCCATCCGTACGCCCATCATCGGACCCCGGGGCCAATGTGACGGTGCCGCACGTGTGCCTGGTCATCTTATATGAAGATATCAGAAGTTCCAGGTATGTGACTTTAAAAAAGTGGGGGGCGGGGACGGCGACTTATCATTGTTGTCTTTTTGTTTTTTATTCCTTTTTGGCATGATTTCATTTTTTAAAGGGCCAGCCACCCAATAAGGGATTAGATCTAAAGCTTTCATTTTTTAGTAGATGAATTAAAGTACCTAAAGCCGGGTTACTTTCAGCTTGCTGCAGCACTGTGTAGAGACATCAGCCATCCAAGGACGTTTTCACCTTTTTTTTCCTTTTGGTGCTGCTGATCTGCTCCAGCCTCTTTCAGGGACTTCCATCTACATGCACTTGTTCCGAAGTTGGCGGCACATCAGTGCTGTGGACCGGTTTCCTGATGGTGGCTGCACAATATGTGTTGACACAGCCGCTTGTAGTCTCCATCGGGGGTGACAACGCAGGAGCACAGTTGGGAAATGGCTGTCACCCTATAACAGGAAGCACCTGAACTAACCTTCATAGCACGACACAAGTCATATATTAATGAAAGGTGCAGATTGAAAACATATTTTTTTGAAATCACATTAACATGGTAAACGTTATATATGAGGCTGCCGTTGCTGACCCCCCTTTCTTCTATCTATCTATCTATCTATCTATCTATCTATCTATCTATCTATCTATCTATCTATCTATCTATCTATCATCAGTGTTAAGAGGTGTCTTCCTTCCTCTTCTTCTTCCTCTCTCTCTCTCTCTCTCTCTCTTTCTCCCTTTTCTTTCTCTCTCTCTCTCTCTCTCTCTCTCTCT